GTCCCTCTTCACCAATGTCCCTCTTGATGATGTCCTTGATTTTCTTAGAGAGAAGGCCATGAAGGGTTTCTTCATTTCCCTATACCTATTGATGTCTTTCTTGATCTGATCTGCCTCTGTGTGGACTCTAATTCCTTTTCCTTCCTAGGGAAATATTATTCTCAAACCTTCGGTGTCGCTGTCGGCTCTCCTTTCTCTCCTGTCCTTGCTAATCTTTACATGGAATACTTCGAGATTGTTCTTCTTCCTACCATCGATGTGCGCCCTTCACTCTGGCTCCGCTATGTAGATGACATCTTTGCTCTTTGGCCTCATGACTCTAGTCTCTTCCAACCTTTTCTTGAAGCTCTTAATAATTTTGCCCCTTCCATTAAGTTTAAGGCTGAATGGGAATCTAATTCCTTGCTTCCTTTCCTTGATGTTCATGTCCACCGCTCAGATACAGGTTTTTCCTTTTCCGTTTACCGCATACCTATGCACAATGGCATGTACATTCAGTACTTTTCGTATCATGCTTCCCCTGTCAAGAAAAGTGTTCTTATCTCCCTCTTTCTCCGTGCTCTCCGCATCTGTGATCCTCAGTTCCTTCCAGCAGAAATTTCCGCTTTTCATAATTCGTTTTCCCGTCTTGGCTACCCTTCCCATTTCAGAGACTCTGCCCACTCACATGCTAAACTGAGAACTCTTCTGTCCTTTGCCTTCCCTACATTTCCGGTCTTTCTAATCTCAACAATTCTCTCCGCTCCTTAGACATCAAACTTACTTTCCGCCAGACTAACACTCTTCGCACTAATCTCGTTCATATCTCTCCTCCCTCTACAGATGTTCCTGGTGTCTACTGTTTCTTGCTCCTCCTGTCCTCTTCAGTACTTTGGAGAAACTGGCCGATCTCTTTTTGACAGACTTAGGGAGCACAAAAATAATGTTAGGCTTGCCGACACTAACAATGCTCTGTTCTGTCACGTCAGAAATCACAGCCATCCTATTGACTGGTCTTCTGCTAAAACTGTCTTCCCTACTTCCAACTTTAACAGTCGCCGTCTGATTGAATCCTCCCTAATACACAACTTCCCTCGTATGAATCTTAGTCCTGGCTTCGTCTCTGTAGATGCCTTCCTCTCCCACTACATTGTAAAATGCTCCAAACTTCAGAATACCCATGACTTAACCTGATTCCTCCTTTTTCTTCTTCTCCCTCTTCCCCTTTCCTCTTTCCTTTTTCTCTTCTGGGTTGTCTTTCTTTCTTCTGCCTTGTGTTTCTGTTCTTTCATTATTTATTTCATTATTTCCCCTCCCCCTACCTCTGTGCTCTTGCTCTCCCTCTGTGGCGCACTCCCTTGCAGTTGCTCCCTTTCTTATATTTACTGGCTCCTCCTCCTTACTTCCCCACCACTCTTCCTTCCACCTCCTGTCACTACTACTATTACTCCTTTACTATTTACTACTACTATTCTACTACTTACTTCTCCACTACCTACTTCTTACTCACCCCTACTACTATTACTACTATTACTACTACTACTTACTACTACTACTACTATTACTACCACTACTACTATTACTACTATTCACTACTACTATTACTACTACTACTATTACTACTACTACTATTACTACTACTACTACCACTACTACTACTACCACTACTACTACTACCACTACTACTACCACCACTACTACTACCATACTACTACTACACACCACTACTACTACTACACCACTACTACTACTACCACCACCACTACTACTACTACCACACACTACTACTACTACCACCACCACTACTACTACTACCACCACCACTACTACACACCACCACCACTACTACTACTACCACCACCACTACACTACTACTACCACCACCACTACTACTACTACCACCACCACTACTACTACTACCACCACCACTACTACTACTACACACGCTACTACTACTACCACCACCACTACTACCACACCACCACTACCACTACACACCACTACCACTACCACCACTACCGTCTACTACCACTACCACTACCACCACTACCACTACTACCACTACACTACTACACTACCACTACACCACTACTACACCACTACCACCACTACATCCCACTAACCCTACCGCTACTACCACTACCACACTCTACCGCTACTACCACTACCACTACTACCACTACCACCACTACCGCTACTACCACTACCACTACTACCACTACCACCACTACCGCTACTACCACTACCACACCACTACCACCACTGCCACTACCACCACTACCACTACCACCACTGCCACTACCACCACTACCACCACCACCACCTACCACTACTACCACTACCACCACTACCACCACTACCACCACTACCACCACTACCACCACTACCACTATCACTACTACCACTACCACCACTACCACTACCACCACTACCGCTACTACCACCACCACCACCGCCACCGCCACCACCACCAGCCTAAATGAACCCGTCCTGCTCTACTTCTCGTTAGTGTGACTATGTAAATGGTCCAAGTCGGACCTAAGCGTCCCATCCTTTGTGAACAACCTCAATTAACTCATCTTTTGTGTATGTACCCAGCATTACCATCCTTCTTATCTAAATTCGACGGTTTCATTCTTTATACATAAACTCTACTATCCCATCATTTATGTAAACTCACATCATGTCATTGTTTGTGTACGTATATATCCAAAAATATCATATTTTTATATACCCTAATGAACCAGTATACTATTCTGTACACAGTATACCATCCTCTGTGCACACAGTATACCATCCTCTGTGTACACAGTATACCATCTGTGCACACAGTATACCATCCTCTGTGTACACAGTATACCATCTGTGCACACAGTATACCATCCTCTGTGTACACAGTATACCATCTGTGCACACAGTATACCATCCTCTGTGTACACAGTATACCATCTGTGCACACAGTATACCATCCTCTGTGCACACAGTATACCATCCTCTGTGCACACAGTATACCATCCTCTGTGCACACAGTATACCATCCTCTGTGCACACAGTATACCGTCCTGTGTGTGCACAGTATATTTAACTACCCACTTTTTGTGTATATACTCATTCATTCCATCCTCCTGAACAATCCCATCATATGTGAGTATGTATAATCAGTAATCCCATCCCATGTGTAAATACTTAAACTTGCCCTCATTCCTATTTATCCATCTTCAGGTACTCTCACATATCCAATCTTCAGGTACTCTCACATATCCCATCTTCAGGTACTCTCACATATCCAATCTTCAGGTACTCTCACATATCCAATCTTCAGGTACTCTCACATATCCCATCTTCAGGTACTCTCACATATCCCATCTTCAGGTACTCTCACATATCCAATCTTCAGGTACTCTCACATATCCCATCTTCAGGTACTCTCGCATATCCCATCTTCAGGTACTCTCACATATCCAATCTTCAGGTACTCTGACATATCCAATCTTCAGGTACTCTGACATATCCAATCTTCAGGTACTCTCACATATCCCATCTTCAGGTACTCTCACATATCCCATCTTCAGGTACTCTCACATATCTTGTATAATTTCTTCAAATTGTCCACATTACGTTTAATTAACTTATTCCACTTGTTTCTTCCTCTTTTTACAATTGTGACTTCTACAGTAGTCTGCAAATTAATTGGGACAGGAGTAAATTTTGTGATTATCGCATAAATCATTGTCTCTTGCTTAATTAATGTAGTTTGCATTCTTTTCTTTTCTGGCTGTAGTGTTGCGACTCTCGTCAGTGCTACAACAGCTGTTGATCTGTAAGGCTATTCCTGCAAACGTGCTCTGTGAGTGTGGCTTCTCCAAATTCTTCCCTTCAGTTCATGATTACTGCTGGAATTCACGATGGATGTTACACCTAGGAAGCATGCATGTAATGTAGCTCTTAGAAAACATGCTGGTTTGAGAAAATATCAGCCTAGCAAAGTCAACTGTTAGTCGGATTTTGATGAGAGCTGTCGACACTGGTGTTTGTGGAGCGCTGCATCGAGGAAGATGTGAAAGAAAAAGCATGACAACACCTTCATAGTGTGAAGGATCTCAAGAATACCAGCAAAGATCTACAGAGATCTTTAAATTCAGCTGGCATAATATTAATTCTTCAACTGTTCGACAAAGGCTCCTTGAAGCTGGCAGAACCGTCAGAAAGCAGGTAAAGAAACAATTAGTGATTGCTAGTATGAAATAAAACGAGAAAAGTTATATTCTCAGATGTAGCCCATTTTGAAGTACATAGGTACAGATCAATTGTAGTTAGACGGAACAACGGTGAACCTCTTTGGAATGGACACAGTCTACAAGCGCATAAACACCCACTTAAGAAGATGTTTTGAGGTAGTTTTACTGCTGAAGACACTGGTCGGCTTGTTATTGTAAAGTAAAAGGACACAAGTGCAACTAATGTGACATTTTATTGTGGCAACGTTTCGCTCTCCAGGAGCTTTGTCAAGCCGGCTTGTTATTGCTGAGGGAACGGTGAACAGTGACAAATACAAGGCAATTCTGGCAAGTTATTTGATTCCCATTGTGGATAGAGACTTTCCTGATGGAGAATGCATTAGAAAACACTTGTCATGTTCCCTAACAAACCTACATAACATAACCTAGCCTAAAAGAAAAACACGATACAGGTGGGGTTCGAACTCATGGCAAGTGAATCGTAAAACTCCAGTTCAGTGCATAAGCCACTGGGCCAGCTGGCTTATGCTTTCTTCTTTTCCCTTTCCATTGTCGTAACTGCTGGCATTTTAGACACCCCACTAAACACTGCAGATCTGGGGCAGAATGCTCGGTCTGCAGTGCAGCAGATCATTCCAATATATCTTGTAGTCTTCCCCCCGTTTGTCTCGATTGCAAGGAACCTCATCTTTCCTTTTCACACCATTATCAGGTTTATCGTAATGAACGAGAGATCCGTTATCTTAAGGAGCATGAGGGCCTTACACTATGGCTGTCTTTCAGCCCCGCCTTCAAGGTAAACTCCCTCATGTCCAGTATGCTCAGGTAGCCCGAAGACCTCCAGCCTCGACAGTCCTCCCGTCTCCCAATCCCTCTGCATCTGTGTCTTCTGGGGTTGCAACACTTTCTAATTCTTTTGCAGTTTTATCCTCTGACACTCCTACCTCCACACCACTTCCTACTTCCACTTCATCTCGCTCACTTGCTTCTCAGTCTAAGAGACCTCGTAGACCTATGCTTTCTTCACGTCCATCACCTGCACAGAACCTATCTTCTACCTCAGAGCCTAGTTCTCACCTCTCCAGCCCTCACATGAAGGTAGAGGTTCACCCCCCTCATGTAGTCCCCTCTTCCCCTGTTCCCCCCCCCGTCTTCCTCCATAGTTACCCTCCAATTTTCTTCCTCTCCTGTTACACTGCAGGCCTCTTCTACCCCCAGCCAATCCATCTCCCCAGGTTCATACTCCCTGCCTCCCTCTGACCTCTTTGGTTTCCTCCATAGTTACTCCAACCTTTACTTGCAATGCCTCTCCTGTCCCTGACATGTCATCGCCAGCTTCCTTAACAACTGAGACGTTAGACGCTATCTCAAGCTATATTGTGGAGACGACACCCCCGATGGACACCAACGCACCTCCTTCTAGTTCACTACCCTTCCAACATTCTATTCCTCCATAACATTCTAATTCTTCAGATCCTAAAAGCCCATAGGTTTTATAGTTTCTTATTGTTGTCAATTTTATTTCTGTACATAATGTGTTTTTTACAATGGAATATTCGTGGCCTTAGGGATAATCGAGGAGAACTCCAAGTGTTGCTCTCCCAGTTGTCCCCAGTATAGGTTGGGTTGCTGGAGGCCAAAATTCATTCTGCTGTCATTCGCCCCATTTTGGGCTACATGCTGTTACATTCTTCCGATCCTTTATCTGACGAATCATTAAATGAAAGGGTGCTTCATGTGTGCATTGATATACCATATCAACAAGTTTTTGTTCATTCCCCACTGCATTATACTGCAGCTCGTATTTATTTACACAGATGGTTTACAGTTTGTTCTCTATATTTCTCCCTCCCGTGCATTCTGTATCTCTGACATTGCATTTTTAATTTCTTCTCTCCTGCTGCCCATCTTGTTGTTGGGTGATTTTAAGGCTCACCATCACCTGTGGGGAGGGTCCCACCGTGACTCTTGTGGTGATCAGTTGGAGACTTCTCACTTCTCATCCTCTTCATGTTTTAAATACGGGTGCTCCTACCCATTTGGACTCTCGCACTCAGTTTCTCTCCTGCATTGATCTTTCTATCTGTTCCTCGCACATTGCACTTGATTTCATGTGGTCTTTTCTTCCAGACTTACATGATAGTGATAACTTTCCAATTCTTCTTACTTCAACTACATATACTCGACTGTTTCGTAGCTGTCGTTGGCAATTTGCTCAAGCAGATTGGGATTTGCACTCCCATCTAACCACCTGTTTTGAGGACCCCCTGTCATCGTCTATTGATGAATTGGCACACCAATTTTCGACTTTAGTCCTAACTGCAGTGACTCGTTCTATCCCCCAAACCTCAGGGTAGACATTCTCAGATATGCATACCTTTGTCGTCTCCTACATGGGCCTGTGCAGTGCATTTAAAATGTGCTACATGGGGCCATTATCGATATAACTGGAGCAAGCATCATCTGTGTCACTAAACATGCTTGTTGGCGAGACTAAGCGTCTACCATTACCTCGTCTTCCCCTGTGTGCGCAATTTGAAAAAGGTACAGAAATTGTGTGATAAGTACACTCCAGACCCGGCTCTCGTTTTGCGGGTTGCTAGAGTTGATGTTGCAGAACCCTTAGAAGCAGACACAGAAATTGGGAATTAACTTGTCTGTATCTCCCGAGGACTTCACCTCTGTCCCTCATTTCTTGCATCTAAACCTACCAATGAGCAATTGCTCTTAGATTTCTCCTCCTATGGATTGGTGCCATATAACGTACCTTTTAATCTTATAGAATTGGAGTCCACGCTTTCCATTCGTCAGCCATCAGCAACGAGACCTGATGATATCCACATCAGTATGCTACAACACCTCCATTCTACTGCCCTTCCCATTCTTTTACATCTTTTCAATCTAATTTGGGAGCAAGGGGTTGTCCCTCAACACTGAAAATAGGCTATTGTACTACCGTTTCGCAAACCGGGCGCCTCAGGGCTTGACGCCTCTCACTATTGTCCCATTGCTCTGACCAGTGTGTTCTGCAAGGTGTTGGAACAGTTGATGAATAGACGTCTGATGTGGTTCTTAGAGACGCACAATACCTTTCACCTCGCCAATTTGGCTTTCACAATTTGGTGCTCTACTTTAGACCCCCTTGTTCAACTTAGATATACATATTCCAAATGCCTTTGCTAACAACCACTCTGTCCTTGTGGTCCTTTTTGATCTAGAGAAGGCATATGACACCTCTTGGAGGTATAACATTCTAGCCCAAGCCCACTCCTTACCCTCCGCTGTAATTACCAAACTTCATCACTGTTTTCTTGTCCGATAGACATTTTCGGGTCCGTATTGGTGCCTTGCTTTCCTCAGACTTTGTACAAGCCGAGGGAGTCCCACAAGGTTGTGTCCTCAGCACTACTCTTTTTCTCTTAGCTATAAATGACTTACCTTCCGTTCTTCCTTTGCATATTTGGTCGGGTGCTGACTGTCGACTAGTAGCAGCCTCCCTTCAGGTTGTGATAGACCGAGTCTCCCGTTGGATCACTTCTCGTGGCTTTAAATTTTCTAGTACGAAAACCCGATTCTTTACCTTCACTAGACGTGTGCTTATTCTGGATACTCCCTTGTACTAACCCGGTTCACGTATTCCAGCATGTGATACAGTCAAGTTTCTGGGCCTGCTCTTTTATCGCTGGCTGACGTGAAAACATCACATTTCTTCTTTAAAGACAACTTGCCATGGTCGGCTAAATCTCCATAAGGTTCTCGCACATCATTCATGGGGAGCAGATCGTCACAATATCCTCCGTTTGCATTCCACCCTAGTCTTGTCCAAGCTACATTATGATGACCAAATCTATTCTGAGGCCTCTCCCACAACTCTAAGTTAGATCCCATTCATCACCAAGGTGCCTTTCGTTCATCCCCTGTTGACAGCCTCTATGCAGAAGCAAATATTCCATCCTTGTCCGATCGCCATGACGCTCATTGCCTCCGCCATTATGTTCGCTCTCATGACCTCCACAATCCTTCCGTACACAGAATAGTCACTGATGTTAGTAGACGTTCTTTATTTGTTTGTCGCCCCTGTTTACTCCATCTCTTTTCTCTCTGCCTACATTCACTCTTGTCTTCTCTTCAGTTATCACCTTTCTATGTTGATGTAGCACCTCACTTTTCCCAGGACCCTTGGGAACTTCCAGCTGTTCGTGTCTGTTCTCTCCCACTGCCTTGCACAAAAGCCCAACTACCTACAGTGGCTTCCCGCTCTCTTTTTCTTGACCACTTCCACTCTCATTCTCATGCCATCGTAGTGTACACCGATGGTTCTTAGTCTTCTGACGGTGTCGGGTTTGCAGCAGTATTTCTGGACAGTGTCATGAGAGGGCTTTTATTATCCTCAGCTAGCATTTTTACTGCTGAATTGTATGCCATTATTGCAGCACTTAACCGTATTGCAACTATGCCTGTGTCACCATTTGTGGTTGTTTCAGACTCCCTTAGAGGTTTACTGGCTATACAAAAATACGATACACCTCACCCCCTAGTTCTCCGTATCCAACTTTGGTTACGCCGTATCTCTACCAAGCACAAAGATATTGTTATTTGTTGGGTCCCTGCTCATGTTGATGTACAGGGCAATGAATAGGCAGACACTGCTGCATGGTCAGCAGTACATGACCTCCCAGTTTCATATAGTGGTGTTCCATTCACAGGCTGTTTTGCTGTAATTGCCACCCACCTTCGCACCCATTGGCAACAACGTTGGTCTGATCTACTCTATAACAAACTTCATTCTATTAAACCGAGCATAGGTTACTGGCCGTCTTATCATCAGTGTCGAGGTTGGGAGACTACTCTCCCGTCTTCGCATCAGCCACACTTCTTACTGGTATCTCATGGAGAGGTGCCCTGTTCCGCTCTGTGAGAATTGTCAGGTTCCAGTATCTGTTAGCCACATTCTGTTGGACTGCCCACTCTATCAGCGAACACGCAGAATTTACCTCCAGCGTTGTCTCCACTCTGCTGCTCTATCTTTACCTTCCTTTCTTGCTGATGGGCCCTCCTTTAATCCTGACTCTCTCATTGACGTTTTTGACAACCGATTTACTCCACAAACTCTGATGATGATACCTTTAGCACTCCCCTCAGCCCTTTCTACCTTACTCTCTTGCTACCCTCTACTCATGCACTCACCACTGCCCCACTCTACTCCATAACCTGCTAATCATCCCTCTCCCTCTTGCTACCCGATACCCTCACATCCTTCCCTAACCTACAGCACTGTATAGCCTTTGTAGTTTAGCACTTCTTTTTGAAAATAATAGTGTCGGTTAATATGCCTTGGGAATCTTCTATGCTCCTATGACAATTCTGATAATATTTCCACCCCCTGTGGCTTGTCTTGCATAGTTAAAATCGCCCGTCTGCAATTGTTTGCATATATATATATATATATATATATATATATATATATATATATATATATATATATATATATATATATATATATATATATATATATATATATATATATATGTGTGTGTGTGTGTATGGCAGCTCTGCCAGAGAGACTGTGGGCATCTCCCTCTGTGATTTTGGCATAGTATCTTCCATTGAAGAACACCTACTAGGGTTATCATCAACAGGCCTGAGTGTGAATACCTGGAGCTCATTTTGGAGTGACAAGAAGACCCTGCACTTCATTTCTTTTCATAACAGTCAAGAAGTGCACGTGAGTTCAGTGTCAGAGGGGTGAGTGTACATACACAACGGTCATCTGTGGGAAGGAGGGGGGCTGTGAGTGGAGGAAGACAACACCCCACACACATACATCATGCAAACTTGTCCCAATAACACAATGTTTGTTTACTTTTTGGGGGGAGTTCCATGTGTTATTGTCAAGTGGTGTGTTATTTATAGTGGTGTGTTGTGTTAAGTGCTGTGGTGTGCATAGTACAGGATGCAGGTAACTCTGACACAGCCAGCTAGGCCTGCCTGCCCTGGGTTTCATTTTCACTTCTCCCTCCCTCCCCCACCTACCATCAGGCCGTGAGACTGCCAGCCACATCTGGGACTATACTCTCATCCACCTCGCTCCTCCTCCA